ATCCCTTGGAGAGTCTTAGACATATATTCTTATTAAAATGTGTGTATTCTTGTTAAAATGTTGATTTGTTGATTTTTCGTTCAATATTTTTGGGGTAGAAGCAAGTGGTCCAACCAGAAGGAACCAATGAACCAGTATGCTTGGTTAGCATGGACTGCAAAATGCCATGATAACAGAATGCAGGGACCTTTCAAAGTGGGTATTTGCTCAGCGCTGTGCCTCTTACCCCATATTCCAGACAATCAGCCGAATTATGCCTTCCTCTGGCACTCAGGCCACATTCTCAGGGGCCTGGATCAGGAACATACTTGGTTTCGGATCTACATATCTACATACCTCCTTTCCTTTGCCATACATTTACTGTTATTACCTTAACAAACTACTCCTTGAGTGCATCTCTGCCAGAGCAGCATCTGCAGACAAAGACCAAGTAAACCCAGTAGTCTCCAGGGAGCTACATTACTAAACCAAAGGTGCTACATTTCTGGTAGTTCAAATCCACAAGCAGCTTCAGGGGAAAGATGGACAGTCTCCTCCCATTTAGTTTATAGCCTCAGAAACCCACTGAAGGGGCAGCTATGAGTTGATCCAAACTCACAGCAATGAGAGAAAGGGGGAGGGAAGGAGAGAGAGAGAAAGAGAAAGAGGGAAGATGACAGGAAAGGAGAGAGAAAGAGAGCGAGCAATTAAACACAGAGAAAATGGAACTAAGCGAACGTACTTGATGGTAGGTACATTTACTACTTCTCCTTCAAAACAGATATTTAAAAAAATAATAATGAAGAAAACAAAAAGTCGAATAGCTACTAAATAGTTAAAATTCATAGGCAGCCATTAGCATACCACAGAAAGAGTCACCTCATCTTAAATTCTTATCATTTAGCTAAAAGTTAATGCTGGGAGCTGCATGATTATCTTCAGATGTTCTTGATGCATGCATTATCTTTTCATTCTACAAAAATGAAAGAAAGGGAAATAACTTTAGATGAAATCAAATGAGAACTGGCACAAAAGACAGTTACGGCTCCTCCGAAAGAAATAGAGAGATGCTATCTGTCTTGTAAAAATATTTTAGACAACTTTCGAGAAGGGGGGGGGGGTACCATCAAGTTGCTCTATTGATTATGTGGGACTGGCTATATAGCACTCTCATGGGGTTGAGACAGATATGAACATTAAAACTGTTTTATGGAGAAAGTTACTGTCTGTATGTAATAGGTCATTTTAAATATTAACTTTCTGTATTCATATTTTAATATCCAAAAGGCAGAGTCTATTTTACAGATAAGTGACCTGTAAATTTTCACTAAAGAAAAAAAGGAAATAATTCCCTTTGAATTTATTTTCCAGAAGTAGACGTTTCAGGAAAAGAATTTTGGGACAAGAAAAATAAAATATGTGCTTAAAGATGAATGATTTACGAACAAAAAAGTACTTTCTTCATCGAGATCCACAAAATGGATATAAAATGAATAGCTACAGAAACGACAGGCCTAGGCAATTTTGTTGTATTTAATGGAAACTTATTTTTATGGTAATTGAAGATTCACATGCAGGCGTTAAGTATCTATACACACTGAGTTTTCTCCCATGGCAATTTGTGTAGACCTACCGTATCATGACAAGTGTTGTTTTTGTCTAAACTGGAATTATCCAGGTAGCCTAACCAATACTGTACGGCATGGAAGTTATCAAACTTCCCCAGTAAATTTGAGCTCTATTGGCCTTGTCCATAGGCAGTTGTGCTGGAAACTGAACATACCTCTCTGGCAGTTCGAATCCTCCAGAGCTCCACAGGAGAAAGATGAGCAGTTTTCTCCAGTGTGACTCCCAGGCTTGGAAACCCAGTAGACGGCCAGCAGTGAGTTGGTTTCAACTCTCTGGGGGCTGAATTGGGTTGACCTTTAAGTGCACCACATTGCACCCTTCACTTTACATGTACTGTTCAGCTAAATTTATATAAGACCCAGATATCCTATACAAGCAACAAAACCTTTATCCTTCCAACAAATTTAGAGAATTTACTAACTATTTTGAAATGTTAAGATCTAGTTAACAACCTTTTCATTTACGGGGGCAATAATGAAATAAAGATAATAAAGCAAGTAGATTTGTGCACTCAGGTTTCCAAACTACCATAGGTCGGGGACTCTTTGAGGAAATTAAACAATTCCCTATTCTTGTTCCATACTGCATATGGTCGCATGTTATTCCTACAGAATCAACTTAGTGTATTTATGAGATATTGGCTCAACTCCTATTATGTCATGAATTTTACAGTAATAAGTACAGCTTAAGAAGTCCCGAGGATTTATTTCTTCTCAGAAAGCTGTGCTGCTTCTTAAATCGCTGAGATTCCCCAAGACAGATGTGCTCATTTCTCTAAAATCAAGTATGTGAACTCAGATATGCAACAAGTTGTGGATCACTCTAGGAAGTCAGCAGTGTGACAGAGATGGATAATCAGCTTCTGGAAGGCCAAGGTCATGAATCAACTTGCATTGAATGAACTCTATACCCGTCTAAAACCTGTCATTGGTGATACAGAGCTGAGAGCTGTCACTGAAACTTGTTATCTCTGCAGAAGGCTGTCAAGCGTGGCAAGTCAAGTAGAAAACTGGATCAGAGAGCCCAGTCAATTGCCTGTGGCAGGCTGCTGGAGTATGGCACCGAGGTGGCATCAATGCCAAGCTCTCATTACACCCAGAGTGGTAAAGCTCCCACCCACCACTCTCAGAACATCTAAGGAGTGATCTTCCCACCGCAGTCCTCCAAAGGATGCTTATGTGTCAAACGTCAGATACGATCACTGTTTCAAAAACTGTGGATTGTAACAATAAGCTGATGCTCTATATTGAAGACTAGAGGGTTGGGGATGAAAAGGTGTCGATACTGTAGCTTTCCTCAAGCAGCTGTTCAAATGCAAGAACTAAATGCAAGAGGGGGAACCTGCGATGAGGCAGCAGGGAGGAGCATCAATGATGGGACATTATTTTAAGCAAGCCCAACGTCTGAGTGAGTGAGAATTTTATGAATAAGACAGGTAAACACAAAGCAATCAGGTATGAGTAGTATTGGGCAATGGTGGTCTTGGAGAAGAAACTGGACCCCAGCAGCTGCATGCAAAGCCAGTAGAAGATACAACAAAAAGACAACACTGCAGCGCACAGCATGACTGGGAAGAGAGTTCAACAGCATGAGTGGGAAAAGAGTTCATGGTCAAGTCATTATGCTCCAATGTGAAGGCATCAGGCAGTCAATGGTCCTGAAAAGACCTGAAAGGTCCTGAAAGGAAAAGGGTTGCAGTAATAGCCTTGGTTACACAGAGCTGATTTATAAAGAAGCAATATGAGAAACTGGTGTTTCAGTGTTCAAACCCTTGATTTTCATATGAGTTGAAATTGTGACCAATGACTCTTATGTAGCTACTACTCATTAGTCCCTGGAGGCTCGGGCATTTCTAGGATGCTGAAGGAGGTTTCAGTAGAGCCTGCAAAGATGGACTAGCTTGAAAGGCTTCATGAGGCGCTCCTGTGATTCAGCCTGTGAAACTCGATGTGTCACAATGATCTGCAATTCACCAGAGGGATGTGGTTAGAAGGGATAGTGTTTTCCTTCAGTGTATACAGAGCCATCATGATGCAAGGATAAGTCAAAGACAGCTAACAACAACAGTTACAGGTCAGCAATTAATAAGACATAACACACACACTTAGACATTATGAGAAATGCAGGCAGCACTAAAGGGAGATTTCCTGAAATATGCATGGGTGTATTTTCAGATTGGACAGTACGGCATAGCAAGACCTTCTCTGACATTTACTGTGGACACAGAGACACTGAGGTTTGCACAACAGTAACTTACAGGAGGTAGCTCTGTACAGGAGCCATGACAACACATGACACATGATGTGTCACACTTAGGAATTCTAGGACACAAGCATGATGGGTTAGATGAAGTGGGAGAACGATCTAACTGGTCTGCTTCAGGGAGGGACTAGACACTCTTCTTCTGCACTTTGATACAGTAAGAAATATTGTTGTTGTTACATGGTGTTGGGTCGTTTGCCACTCACAGTGACCCTATGTAACAGCCCTGAAACCTGCTCTATCCTGTCCCAACTTTACTGTATGACACACCTACCCTCATTATCCCAGTCACTTTATCATTCCATCTCACCAATGGTACCCGTCTCCTTCTCCATCTCTCCACCCTACCAAGCATGATGTCCTTCTCTAAGGACTGAACCCGCCTTGCCACATGCCCAAAGTATGTCAGATGAGGCTTCAGAATCCTTGACTCCAAGGAGCAGCCTGGCTTCACCCTTTCCAGGATGAATCTGCTTTTTCTCCTAGCAGTCCATGGTATATTCAACACTTATCTCGAGCACCATAGAGCAAAAGCATCAATTCTCTTTCTATCATCTCTAGTCATTGTCCAGCTCTCTGATGCATAGTAAGGAATTGTGAAGACTATGGCCTGGATCAGGCAGGTGCACCTTAGACCCCAGACTGATGTTACTGCTCTTCAGTGAAATCTCAAGGGAGACAATGATTTGATTTTCCTCTTCAGTCTAACTGAGCCTTTGGCAATAATCGAATGTTCTAAGTCTGTACTGTCTGACATTTGCCACTTGCCACATGGCTAACTGAGCTCTTGAAAGGTAGCCAGTGTAGCTAAGAAACTGACTTGTGGTATAAAAGAACCAATCTACTTTATCCACTGGTTCATTTAATCATAATACCCCTTCCTATGAGGTTGATATTATTCTATGAGCTGTATTTTATATATACATTTAGAAAGAGAGGCACAGAGCGGTGAAGTCATGTCTCCAAAGTTAAGAAGCCGGCTTGCAAACCAAGGGCCACACTCTCCCTCAGCTATAAGCTCCCTACAAGTGACATAAACCCTTTAACGAGCAAGCCAGGGTGAAGGTTATCAGTAACATCAAGGTGAGTTTTTGGCTGATGTTCAGACAGGTAAATAAGACACGGAATACCTGTTTTCCCTGTGTTCTTCATCCAGGTCTTGTTAGAGGACTCATTGTCGAAGCCATCAAGTTGCAGCTCCTGATACTCTTCGCCGACACGAGCATGCTGGTCCAGAATGTCTATTGGAGACTGGTGATGGCCTCTGCAGCTGGCACTGGACGTGACCCAGTGCTCAGGACCGTAGGCACCTGTTAAAAGAAAACACCACTTCAATCCTGATGGCTCACAAGTCGGAGGTGGAACAAATCAGAGTGAAGAAACCAACCACAGTTTCTCCGAACATATATTTTCTACATGTACCTGCATTCATAGACCAGAATATTGAAAATGGAGGCTCTGAGGCCATATGCTCAATATGGCAAGGAGATTTAAGGAAAGCTACATTACTCAAGATAGTTCTGCTTCTGGATTTGCAATCAAACATTTGCTTCCTTCATCTTTAATCAGATTAAGGGAGCTACCCAGAAGGGCTGTCAGAATTTTTCTTTTTTCTTTTGTTTAAGTCTTTGTAAGTGTTCTAAAAGAAGCAGAGTTATTTATTGACAAGAAAACATTTTTTCCATTTCACCATATTTTGCTATTATGAGCAGCATTCTAAACACATGTTCTACTCAATGTACAAAAGTTCATAAATAGGAAAAGAGAAAAAAGATCAATGTATTAACAGCAAAGGAAAAACAGCGGGAGAGACATAACAAATGATTTAGGTCCCAAGTCCTGATGTTTTGTCCTTTAGCAGAGGGGAAAAGATTCTCAACGCGGCCAGAGCTTGTACAGTTGTAAGTTAAGACCCTTCCACCTCGACCTTTGTCCCTCATAGGAGACTTGGGTGGGGAGGGGATATGTTTTCATCGGACTAGAATCACTCACTGTTCACATATACACTTTATTGGGGCATACACCACAGAAATAAAGAGAGAAAGAGCAATAACAGAATTTCGTTGTGATGGGAGGGTTAGACTAGCGAATAGCAGGCAGGGAGAGAGTACAGTGCATCTGACTCACTGCCCATTTAGAAATGGAATATTATGGGGCTAAGTTTATTATTTCAACCCCAAGTCCTGGGGTTTTTCTGCACCATAGCTTTAATATTATAGCCTAAAAAGGCAGGCACAATCTGTTAAAAAAAATAATCTATACAAAGATAAACCTCCCTATTTCATAGAATTCTATATAAAATGTTAAGTCTAAGTTTTACAAAGTTAAAAAAAAAGTTGGACTTCCTAATCAATACAGTTTAGTGCACGCGCATGCACGTACACACACACACACACACACCCATATACATACAGCTTTGGGGGCACAGTAGTTAAGCATCTGTTAAGTAAAAGGTCAGGAGTGTGAACCTCCTAGCTCTGGGGTGAGGAGAGGGAAGGTGGCAGCTTGATTCTGTAAAACCTTACATGTCTTCAGAAATCCTGAGACAGTTCTATCAGTCCTATATTATCACTATGAATTAAGATAACTCAATGGCAATGAATACATACACACAGATAAAAACACTCTCTACAGAGAGAGAGAGAAATACACGTATGTGTCACTTCGAAGTTTGTTTGTTTTTTAAATAAATGCTTCACATTTCTTTATAGATTGGCTCAATGGCCAGGCTGCCATTAGGAGACCAAGCCCACCCACCAACCTACACTTGGCACCCTTACTTGGTTCCCTGTGCTGTATTGTTGCTGTGTAGCATTGTGTTAGAATCCACCCACAGCAGAACCTCCAGAAGATTTTTCAGAGGCAGTAAATCACTCAAGAATAGAATACTCATCTTTTTCTCATAGAGCACCTGGTGGATTTGAACCATGCGCCTCTGTGGTTGGCAGCAGAGCTAAAATGAAATGTTAGCATAAATCCCCCACGACTGAGGAAGCGGTACCATCTGTGCCCATTACTATCACTTTGCTCTCTCTCACGGTTTTTTTCATGTCACCATCCACAGCAAATATGGGCAAAGGTTGTTGTTGTTATGTGCTATCGAGTTGCCTGCAACTCATAGCAACCCTATGTACAGCAGCCCTAAACCCTGCTCTATCCCCTTGCCAACTTTACTGTCTCCACCACACCTATCCCCATTACCCCAGTCACTGAATCAATCCACCTAATTGAGGGTCCTCCTCTCCCGTGCTGTCCTTCCACCCTCCCAAGCATGACGTCCCTCTCCAAGGACTGGTCCCTCCTTGCAACATGTCCAGAGTGTCAACTACCCAAAGTCTAAGCTCTGGTACTGGGAGCTTCATGGCTACAAGAACAAATGACTCAGCTCTTGAAAATGGGTTCAGATCCTTGCTAATAGTCTGGGTCTTCATTCTAAACAGCAGAATAAAATAAGACTCAAAGAAAACATATTCACTGATGGGCAAAAGTTTAGAGTCCTAATAGCACTTTCCAAAACTGTATACTAGTGTCTTAATACCTTCTAGAAAAAGTAAAAATATTACCATTTCGTTTTCTGTAGAACTGCAACTAAATTAGGAAAGGTCAATGGTTTTTCAATCTTGTTGTTCACCTTTTGGTTAAACTCATAAAGACTGTGAGACATCCTGGGTGGAGAGTGTGTATTTGCATGTCACTGGAGGCCAAGCACCTAGCTGATTCTGACCACACTCTAGCTCATTCCACATCTACGTATGTCAAGGAAACTGGAGATGATGGGGACACAACAAGGGGCTCCCAGATGGAAGAAAATTTCCACAGTCATCTGTCAACTGTGGAAACTTTCTTCCATCTGAGTGGAATCCATTAGAAAACTGAATATAGCAATAAAGACCCTGTGGGATAGAGAACTAGCCATGGTGGTCCCAAGTCCGTAGTGGTAAGAAGCTGTACTACAATCCCAAAGGCACATGGTTCGAGTCCACGAGCTGCTACATAAGAGAAAGATGGACAATCTCCTCTTGTGTGTTTTAATGTCTCTAAAAACTCAGCACAGGGTTAGCTATGGGTTGGTTCTAACTCAACAATACGTGACAGCAACAACAACAATTTATGGGCACAGTCTTATTTTTCTCTTATGGAAATAGCCTGCAGTTTCAAACCACTGATCCTATGAACAACAGTCAAGTGCTTTAACCAGCACTCTGTATAAATAGTGAGTTAATACACTTTCAATACTGACATTGGTCAGTCACAACAGTGTATCCTCAAATTATGGACACTGCTGTTTAAAATGGTCCACACTGACAGATCTATACCACCATTTAACCAACTGCTGTTAAGTCTACTGATTCCGGCCCCTCCTCGTGCGTCAGGGTGGAGCTGAGATGCACAGGGTTTACCAGAAGCAGATGAAAGGTCTTTCTCTAGAGACACCAATGGTTCAAGCTGCCAACCTTTCGGCTGGATCTTTTGAGAAGTCTTAAGTCCAACTAAGGCACGTTTTGTCAGAAAAATTACTAGGGAACAAATCCTAACAAGCAAGACTCTAAAGAAGTAAGAATGTAAGGCAACATTCATAAAAACATACTGACACCTGATAATTATCCTCGTAATTAAAAAAAAAAAAATACAACCCCCGAAAACCACTTGCTATTCATATTATTTCTTACAACCCTCCAGACATGGGTGAAACAGAACTTAGCACTCTATAAAAATACAACTAGGGTTTGTACCAGCGGGATTCATTTACTCACTGGTAACAATCTGAAGATTTAATCCAAATATATGCTTGCTTTTGCACTTCCACCCAATATACATTCAAGTGCAATTTTAATTGAAACTGATCTTCCACTTCAGATTTCAAATTAATTCTTCTTTGGCGGGCTCCATGCACCAGACATCCTTGCCTTACAGAAACCCCTGTGTCATTAGTGGAGGAAACAGAACACTTTTTTTCAAGCTTGCAGGTATTGATTACCTATTCTCACATCAAAGCACTACTGCCATTCCACACTGCATAAATCTCTCTAGTGTTAAGACACTTTATAAAGGACTGAGAATTATATCATTAATCATTTGCAGTTGTCCAAGTCTCACAGTATTGAATGCTTTGTTTTGCAGAACTTTGAATAAATGCTTTAAAGTAAAAAACATGACACGAAATAAAAGCTGTGTTTAGCTTAAGCCTCATTCCAACGGAGAATGCAATCAGTAGGAAGCCTTCCTCCCTCAGGTGTGACATGGCCCATCCCAAAGAGGGAAGGCAAAGCCATTTACCACTTAGCTTCCTCTTACTGGCTCCTCTCAGAGTTGAGAATAAGCAGGATGTGTTGCAGTGGTGTGTTGTGGCTTTGGGTTTGTTTTTTTTTTTTAATTATTTTGGCAGCTGACAAGCCATTCTGAGCAGCTCACCAACTCTGACACGTCAACCTAATATATAAGGTTATGCTTCCAAATGGGAGCGGTGGGAACGCGCTGGAGAACACAGGGCAGTCTGAGCTGCCAAAAGTAATTAACCACCTGACTCTTAGGGTGCTTGGAGGAATTCGATCTTGATGGAGACATATGGCCAGTCTATAAATACCAAGGCTTCCACGAGATTACAGCTTTAGGAACCCTACGGGGCAGTTCTGCGCTGCCCTCCAGGGTCGTCCGGAGGCAGAATCACCTCGCGGCAGTGGGTTTGTAAGCGCCGGTGGAACTGAGCAGTGTTTTTCCCTCAACCCGTGAAAACACAGCTTTTCTTTTTATAAGAATTCAGTCAACACATGTGGAACCAACCCCTGCTCAAAGGTTCGGTCTCAGTTAAAATGTCCCTTTATCAGAGAGGCCTTCAGTGATGAAGGCTCACCAGTTATTTGACACCCTTCTCACACTGGGTGCCTGATCTCCTTCACATCTCAGCATCACTGTTACATTTTACCCTTTTTTTCTTCAACTTCTTTCTCACTAGGTGGTAAATTCTTAACATTTTCTTCCTTGGAGAATTTTATACAGCCTAGATCTTATATATACACAACAAAGACCAGATACATATTGCTTTGTGTTGTAATTACCTTGGGAGTCCTGATAGTGTACAGTGTTACATTTCGGGCTGCTGGGAGCTCTGGCGGCCTACTCCTAAGAAGCTGCACTGAAATCCTGAAGGCACAGTTTGAATCCACCAGCTGCTCCACAGGACAAGGATGGGTGAACTCCGCCCATGCGATTAACAGCCTCTCAAAACCTGCTGGAGGGTCAGCTATGGGTTGGTTCCAACTTGAAGGCATACCACCACCACCACCATCACCACCACCACCAAAAGGTAAGT